GGGCCCTCGTGTTAGTTCTTCCCCTTCCCTCTGTGCACTGGATCCTGGCTGGACTCTGTACAGAGCACGGGCTCAGACCCCACTGCCGATGTGGCCATGTGCTTAGAGACAACCCGGGCCGGGGCAGGAAGGGGCCTTCCCACGGTCCACCCTCAGGCCTAGGTCCCTGACCTCCTACCCACATGCCTGCCTGCCACTGATGCCCGCACAGGCAGCAGAAGCCAGGCAGGCAGGAAGCGACTCCTCTCTGGCTCCAGCCTTTGGAGCACTGACCACCCTCTTGGGAGGATCCATTATCCTGGCGACCATCATGGCACAGAACACCTCTGGCCCTCGCTCTGAACCTACTTCAAAGCCGGAATCTCCACCTCGTTTCTCCAACACGCCCCTAGTCCTTCCTGTTCCCCAGGTCTTGGTCCTAATTCATTACTCCTTTCCTGGATTCTCAGAACTCAACTGGAGTAAGTGTGACTACCGTCCGTGGAACTCTATTTGTTTTCTTTTGTTTAATTGGGACTTATAAGGGAACCCAGTTGTCTCTTAGACTTTTTCCAGCCAACAGTGACTCAGGCAGAGGAAATTAGAAGGCAATTTCCAGGGAACTGCTACAACAACCCAAAGCTGGAAATAGCCCCAGGTCTCCCAGTGCACAGCCCTCTCTCCTGTTAACTCAGCTCCCCAGAATCTCTCTTCAGAAAACGGGCAGCTGGCTTCTGGAGCTAGAACCGCACTCCTCTGACACCAAATAGGTTTACTTTTCCTTCCTTTCCCTCCGCCTGCCACCACACACAGTGATTCCAGCCCTTATCTGCTCCCCAAAACCCTCACGCAGCTCTGAAGGACACCATGATAAGTGGCTGGCTGTGGCCCCCGTTCCAACGGTCTGGAAGGATGTGGTTGGTTGTTCCATGAGCAAGGGGCCCTGTCAGCCTGTGAATCAGCCCTACATCACTTCCCTCCCCAGGAAGAAGCCGTTCCCATTCCAGTGCCCATGTGTGAGGTTGTAACGGAAGCAGCGCTGAGCTCGCCCTTACCTGGAACACCTCCCTCCCTCCCACATTCCTCCCCTTCTTCCCCTCTGGTACCAGCAAGCCATCACTGGGTCCCAAAGCTCAGCCTCCAGGGCTGAACAGCTGCTCCTTGTTGGTCTGCTTCTTGTGTTCTCCACAGGGCAAGTGGCCCAACTCCCCATCAGAGTGAACAGCTGGGCTCTGCTTTGGTCTCGGCTCCACCTCTCAGGTCCCAGGGTTTGGGGGATGAGGAACACCAAATGGAAACCAGCACACTGTAAGTGCCCATGACGGGGCCAGGTACTAGGTAAACGCTTTCCCCCAAATTATCTCAGATCAACCTCCCAGAGGCCCTGTGCGGCTATGGGTGAGGAAACTGAGCCCCAGGGCGACAGGTCCAAGGCTGCACAGCTCTGCCCAATACCACTCCTTCCACAATAAAATGACCCTGAAGAAGACCCTGTCCAGGCTGCAGCTTCCAATCCTCACTCCTGTGACAGTCTAAGGGCTTAAAAATAAAAATAAAGAGCAGAGAAATGAATAAATTTGGGGCCAACTCCTAACAATATAGCTCCCAGGACCGAGACCAAAATCTGTGATGATCTAAACACAGGAAGAACGCATTATCCACAGGGCCCACCCTCCATTCATCACCCCACATGGCACTGGACAGGCAGCACCCTGGATCTGCTCTGTCCTCCTGCTCCCCAGGGACCTCCCTCACTGCCTGTCAGACTCACCTGGGCGGCACACGGTGGCTTCCCACAGTGAAGCAGTGCTCAACCTCACCGCTGTCACACAGGCCTGAGCCTGGCCTCCCCATCCAGATGCCAACTGGGGAGCAGGGCCCTGTCTTAGGGGTCTATCCCCCCTGGCGGGAAAAATGAACTGCATTTACCCAGATGTGCCTGGTGCTGACTGGGACCCCCAAGAAATCTGGTTGGTCTCTCCAAGCCTCAGTTAACCTGTCTGTAAAAAAGACTCAAAGAGCCTCCTCCACACTAGGGTATAACTGATGAACTACAGGGATCCTATGAGAACATGTGATGTGTGTTAAGCATTAGGCGCCATGGCTATTACTTGTATTTCCTAAGGATTCCTGTAGAGGATTAGAACATGCATGACTGGCATTTTCTGGGGGAAAAAACCATTCAGGAAAGGAAACAACTGTGAAAGCATGACACCTGCTAAATCCAAACAGACGTGTCTTCTTTGCTTTAGATAAAGGAGCTTCTCTCCACCACCATATGGCTTGATACATGTACACCTATACCCATGAGTGCAAAGAATTCTGTGAACCTGAACTTGGATCCACGGCAGAAAACTTCCAAAGGGAAGAATCTGCTGTTTGCATCTGGGATGAGCAGGACCACCTTAATAAGACAAGCTGAGATCACAGCCACCTTACCCAATGTGCCCAGGGACAGCTCCTAAAAGCCAAGGAGGGGACCAGCTTCATGCCAGGGAGGCTGACCAAAGCAGCAGCTGCTCACCCTTCCCATTCCACCCCAAGCAGGGGCTAGCAGAGAGGAAGGAAGCCAAGGGTTGGCAGCACCATGTAAATGACAGAGGCCACTTGCATGCCTTTCTTAAACAGAGCCTGCGCTCAGGATCCCTGGCACCTTGGCAGCTCCCCTTCCCCATGGGGATGAGCAAGCCCTTGGCTGGATGTCCTGAGAGAACCTTTGCGTGTGTTCCCAGGGCTCCGCAGCCAGCGCTGTTCCTCTGCTTGGGCAACGTGCCTCTCTTGTCCTTGAGCTCTGGCTAACGTGCATATCCCATAAAACATCTCTGCTCTGCAATTTACCAAACCACAGACTCGGCGTGCACCGTTAGTGAGGGGAGCTGGAGGAGGCACGCTTCTCCAAAGCATACGTGATGTGGGTGCAGCAGGTCCTGCCAGCCCACCACACCAGTGTGCCTTATCCAGCACACGTGACCTTCTGGAGTGTGTGGCCACTGCACAGGGGCCAAGGGCAGGGGACCTAAGCCTCAGAGTCCCACGGGACCCTTCCCGTTACTGGACACGTCTACGTCAGCATGAACGCGCCCAAATGTCACAATCACTCCACCAGCAGCCATGTGTCTTCCTGGCCAACCTCAACTGGACCCAGGGAACCTTTAATGAAAACCCACACCATGGACAAAAGGCCAGTTAGACCCGGTGCTGCGGCAGCTGTGGTGCAAGTCACCCATCTGGTTCTTAGTTTCCTGGTCTACAAATGAAAGGGTTGAGCCAGATGCATCCCTGCCAGCCCCACGATTCCACAACATACAACACTTTCGCCTTTCACTGTTTTCCAGAACCTCAGTGAGGGCTCTGTGTGGCCCCATCTGCTCAGTGACACCACTCCGGCCCCCAGCATCATGTCATGGACGCCCAGATGGGACGAGAGATGTCCCAGGAAGTACTTTGTCTGTAAGAAGGGAGGAAACGACCATTTGCAGGGAACAGACAGGACTCCTTTTGTGTTTTCCACACAGTACACATTATTAACAGTCTCAAAACTCAGCATCTTTCTTCCTTTTTGCCAGACCATTAATAGCTGCTTTTCAAAAATGCTTTCTTAGTCTGAATCTCACCAACAGCAAGCTACCATTTAATGAGTACTTGCTATGTCCCAGGAACTGGGCTAAGTGCTTTCATAGATGATCTCATTTAATGCTCCCCACAACCCTAGGAAGTACATACTATCATTGGCCTCATTTTTAAAATGAGGAAACTGAGGCCCATGGACGTTTAAAGAAATTGCTCAACTAGTTAGGGGCTGACCCAGGCTTCAAACAAGTCCCAGATTTTCAGAGCCCCCAGCGTGTAACTGCCACCCCATACAGCCCACGGCAGACCCTGTTCCTGCTAGCAGCCCTCCTGGTTCACTGCCAGTGTCTTGCTTGCATTTGTAATTGTGGGCATCATCGGTCAAAGGGAAAGTGTGCTGTTTTATCTAAAATCCAGAGCTGGAAAAGCACCTGCCTGGGTCTCAGAGCAGAATGCCATCTGTTGAAAGCAGTGCCAATCTCAACTAAGGACAAGACAAGAGGGCCTTAAAATACACCCTGCAACCCTTGAGAAGAGGCAAGAAAGCCGGCTGGTTGGGGCCACCCACCCACGCCTCTGAAAGGGGTTTTCTTGTACTGGCAGTGGAAGAAACCTGCCGAGCCACATGACAGAAGTGGGCTAACTCCCTGCCTGCTCACTTTTACCTCCCCGCACCTGAGCCCAGCCCCGCCCGCTCAACTGTAAAGAACCCCTCTCCTGGAGGCCGGCAGAAAGAAGAGCAGGAGGCTGACATTGCCACAAACCCCGTCCCTCCAACAGGGGGATGCCAGGTACTCCGGAGACCAGTGCGGTCTAGGGCAGCAACCAACAGCCTGTTTTAATTGTTAAAATTAATGCTTTGAGCATGCTAAATGCTCCTTTAAACTCCTGATTTGCAAATCAGATGCAGCCCTGCTATCCATTGTCCCCTGTGCTTTGGAGGCCGGGCTGCAGGTCTCTTCAGTCTCAGCCGCTCAGACAGACTGGCTCAGGGGACACCCAGGTCGCCGTGTTTACGTCCTAAGGTGTGAAGGACGGGAGAACAGCTGCGCCGAGATGAGAGCGGCCTGTCACACAGCCCCCGGGCCTGGCCGCGGTCAGCCTGAGCGCTCCCGAAGTTTGGGGAGGCCGGGGGAGGGGCGGAGACCACAGCCGACCTTTGCCTGCTCGCGTCTGGAAACCAAGCATCACTTAAGAGGAAGTGACCCCGGCTAGGGGTCACGTCCAGAGGAGGGATGAAAGGAAAAGCCACCATTCTCCTCGCACGGCGGGACACAATGGCTTTACGGAGGAAATCCCGGCTGGGCTAGGAGCGGAGGGAGCGGGGGCGCGGCGCTCCTGCCCGGCCTACGCGGGCGGGCGGGACAGCGGCCAAGCCTCGCGCGCCGCCGGGGGACAGGCGACCTCCCCCGGTCACAGGCAGCAGCCGCGGCGCGGCCGGCGGTACTCACGTAGTGCTTGGACGGGCTCCTCCGCTTCTCCACGTCCACCACGGCGGCCTCCCGCACGCAGCAGGCGAGCATCTTCGCGCGTCTCAAGCGGCGCCCCCGGCGGCGTCACCTCGTCATCCCGGCCGGGCTCAGGCTCCTTCTCCGCCCCCCGGACCCCGGGCCCGGGCTCGGGGGCTCCGCGCTGGGCCTGGCGGCAGCGGCTCCCCACACAGGCGTCCGAGCGCCGGCGGCTCCCCGCGGGCCCGGCCCCGCGCCCTCCTCTTCCTGCCTCCCGGGCCGCTCGGCGCCGTCCGCGCTCTCGGCCGCCCGCCGGTGGGTCCGGCGGGAACTGGCGGGCGGAGGCGGGCCGGGGGTGTGTCCCGGCGGGGCAGGGCCGGCCCGAGCCGCTGTCCGCGCGCGGGGAGGGGCGGACGGGCGGGCGGCTCCGCTCGGGCTCGGCGCCGGTGGGGGCCGTGCGGGGAGGGGCTCCGGCGGGGGAGGGGCAGGCGCGGGAGGCCGGGGCGGTGGGGCGCTCGCACTCGGGTGGATTTGTGCCTTCTGGTCGCCGCCTTTCTGTGCCCCTGCTACTGCTGTCCTCAGATCTCTTCAATGAAAAGTAGTTTATTACCCGGCTGTTACTTCCAGGGCCCCACGAGGAGACCGGCCTTAACTCCTCCAGCCAGAGCCTCTTGACGACCCACCTGCCCCTCCCCTAGCGGGTCACGCAGGGCGATTTTCCCAGGAAACGAGATCCATCGATCCGCTGCCTGATCGATCGCCTATCGATCTGGGCCCGTGTGACTAACCTGTGACGTGGTTTACCAATAACAAGGTTACAGGCTTGGCACAACGCCGCGGCCTGGAGCCCAGGGCGCCTGGACCCTCCCGGGTTGGGAGGAGGGAAGGAGCACGCAATGGTAGAAGCTCCCTGGGCCCAGCCAGCTCTGCATCCAGGCCTAGGCCTCCTCCTCTGGTCTGCAAAACCGGCTTTCCAGGCCACTGGCCCGTCTCTGGGCTTGGAGCACAGTTCTACTCAATTCAATTTCGCCTTTTCGAGTTCAACATTTTCCCCATTCTACATTCAAGTATTTAAGGGAGGGGGCATGCTTTCACAACTAGTCCAATTGTCTCACAATCACAATGCAGCTTTGTGAGGCTGGACCAATGGGAAACATCTGACACGGGGGCCAAGAGCTTTAGGGCCTTGTTTTCTTCTTTGCCCAACAGCAGCCCTGTGTCAGTCTAAGGCTGGATTCCCCTATTTGCTTGGGGCAGAGCTCCCCACTACGCTCTGGCCTGCTTGGAGAAGGGTGTGAGGACCCCCAAACGACGGCACACGAGTTGCACCAACAGATGCCACGCGTAATGAGGACTACGAGAGTCGAGCTCCAGGCATTGAGATCTGGATGGCAGGGCCTTCCCTATGAGAGAGGACGGTGGAAACCTCATGTGGATGCAGGGGTCCTGGCAGAAAGTGATATGGCCATGATGCGTGGGTGGCCGGAAAAGGCGGAGACAAGGCACTGCCTGCTGAGCCAGGCTTGTCCATGAAGGGGCCAGGGGCAGACCCACAGTAGGCCCTCAGGTCAGAGCTTGCAAACGTGGGATGGTGCCAGCGTAGCCCCAAGTCCTCTCTGGGGATGAATGGAGGCATCTGCAAGTTGGCTGTAAGTCGATTCACCGTGGCAGTCAGCAGCTCCCCGCTGTGGAGGGCCACGCATTCTGGAGGTGCCCTTTAAGCCTGAGAAGTCCCTGGGGAGGGGAGCTGGTGCTCGGCAGCTGCAGGGAAATAGGAAGTGGGGATCCACTTGTCCTGGGTCCCCTTTCGGAATCAGAACAGTGGGCTCCTTGAGACAGCACCACTACTGTCCTGCTCACCCTCCTCCTCCTGGGACCAGCTCCACACTGAACACGGTGCTGAGCAGAAGTCTGTGGAGAGAGGGCCCAGTGCTTCCCTGCCATCTTAGCAGTACTGCCATTGTTTGCCTACCTGGTGTTGGCCTTCTTTCTGCTTAAGAATCGCCCAAGAACTCTTAAATTCAGTCCTTTACGCCAACTGAAGCATACTTCCAGCTTCCCCCTTTGCTCAGCAGTTACCTCCACTGGAGGGGCAACTGCCAAGAGCTCTGGGGTGAGTGGGGCAGGAGCTATTTATACCTGTGGTAGAAAGGGCTTCCAGCAAGGGTGAAGTGTGCAGGCTGTCCCTTCCCCGGTGCAGCTCCGCCTTAACCAATCCCTATCCCAACGCGTTTAGGGTTTACCGTGTTTACCGAGTGCCTCCCCCTTCCGAGTGCTGAGTGCTTGGCACTCCCCCAAATTGCGGAGAGCAGCAAAGCTGCCTTGGAGATGGGGCCTGTGCCCCATTGATTAAATCCCCCCAGGGTGCCTGATGCAGAGCTGGAGCACAGGATAGTCAGTGTTGGAAAGAAACGGAGAGGATGAAAGAAACCCCTATTCTGCCACCTCCGTCTGTGCATTGGAGGTGACGCTGAGCCTAGGACATTACGTGAGTTCAAGTGACAAAATACAATTATGAAAATGAAAAAGAAGTTAAGGATAAATAAAGATGCAAACTGATACCTGAAATTTTGATTTTCGAAGACAAGCAATTAGTTGTAAAATGCTTAGAATCAAAGAGCTCGTCAGGCTGGAAAGGATCAGAGGTCATTCTGAGGAGGGAGCTGAGGCCTAGAGAGACTTGAGCGAGGTGCCTGAGGCCACACACTTAATTAGTCCGAGGTCAGCGGCCGCTCCCTCCACCTTGCCTACATGTGCCTGTCCACAGGTGAGAAGAGCTCCTTAGTGCACGTACTGCCACTTGCAGATGGAGGATGTCGTGTGCCCCTGAACCCCGGGGGTCACTTGGCTCCAATTTTCCATTCATCCAGCATCCCAAGTTGGCTGGACTGCCCAGCAAAGGGGACTGGAGACTTCTCCAGGACAGCGGCAGTGGGGCCTCCATGCTCCGAGGCCACACACGCATCAGCTCTGCCTAGGCAGAGCCCACCCTGCCTCCCCTCCTGGGGAAGGCCTCATGGCCACCCCGAGAAGACAGCATACCGGAGAGAACCCAGAATTGTTAATGCTAAGCATGGGCGCTGCATAATCCTGTATTCCTCCTTAGAAGTGTATGGCAATGCTAATCATTCATTTGGTTACTAATTATACATTGTACTATGACCCCTCAGCCTCCACTGTTTGGAACCTTATTTACATCTTTTATTGTCAATTGACTTTCCTGTGCTAAACCAATAAAAACCTGTGCAGGCCTTAAGGACCACGAACTTAGACCTTGATTCCGCCTCTCCCTCTCCACTCCCGCACCCAGCACTTCTGCCACCCTGCCCCTGCCATCACACCCTACCTGGTACCTGGCTCTGTATGTGCCAGGCACTCAGTAAATGGCAGACAGGTGGAGATGTGGCTGCTGCTTTCTGAGCAGCACGTGTCCAGCCCAGGCTCCACTGTTGGATCCACAAACTAGCCTGTGACCTTGAAGTGCTTTTCCAACTCTGGGTCTCTGGTGATCTTTCTGGGCCCTTCCATGTTTGGCAATGGTGGGTAACTATTCTGTTTTAAAGTGAAGTCTCTTCCAGGTGTAGTGGCATATGTCTGTAGTCCCAGCACTTGGGAGGCTGAGGCAGGAGGGTCATGAGTTCAAGGTGAGTGTGGTCTCTGACCAGATTGTCTTGAGATTTTCAAATTTGAGTTGAGATTTGGGGCCCTCTCCTGGCCAAAGTGGTATTAGCACTATCGATTGCAACAGCAGCCCAGGGTGGTGTCCCTTCCAGACCCTGGCTGACCTCTGGCAGGGAAAAACAGGAGAGCCTGGCACAAACCCCTGCCATTTTACAGACCCTAAGCAGGCCAGTTTTCATGCTTCTCACTCCATTTCTCCTTTTCCTCCTCCTCTTTCTTCTTCCCCCTGCTCTCAAATCAACTCTAATGTACTGACTTACACTGGGGGCATGTTTTGAGGATGGTCACCCCTGAATCTGGAGCAGACAGCAAGGCCAGACTGACTTCTCTCGGTTGCCAGACAATGAGACCAGGACCGGCCCCCTCTTCCCCGATTCCGGCCATAGTAACAAGCCCTTCTTGCTCACCACACCAACAGGTGGTAGAAGCCCCTTTCCCCTAATTCCCACCACAGTCTCTGTCAGCGGAATCTCCACATGCTTGTCCACCCAGGTGCTGCTGACTCCTGGCCTCCTCCTCTCCTGCCTTTGAGGGTCCCCAGGGGGGCAGATTTTTTATGGAACCACTTGAAATTCCAGCTAGCCAATGGCCCTGCCCCCGGGATACCAGAAGGAAATCGGGTAACTTGCACAGCCACAGTCCAGGACACAGTGAGATTCACAGAGGAAAAATATATTATTCCCTAACTCCAGACCGCATCCCCAGTCCTGCTGACATCTGGTCTCCAAACCAGTGCCTGTTTAAAACCTTCAGGGTGAGAGCATAGACCGCTTCATACCTTTTATCTCAGCTCCCGAATACCCACACCCCAGGTGTGTTCCTGCCAGCTAGGGGTTCCCAGCATTAACCGGCAATAAAAGACAAGTCTTTACAGTTCCCTTTTAACTATAAACCACCCAGATTTTCTTTTTCAAAATCCCCTGCATTTTCCAGAAGCCAGCAAACCCTGAGTTGGTCACCGGATGACAAAAAGAACAACAACAAATCCCTTGGGGGAATTCAAAGGCAGTTTCTTTAAAAATAGCCAGAGGCCGCAAATAACCAAAAATATGAGTCTGGCTTCGGTTTGCGCCCTACCCCTTTTCTGTTCTTTCTAAAGAAACGCCAGGGAAATCAGGGCTCTTGGTTCCGTTTGAATCTGTGTCTCTCTCAGGTGAGAGATAAAAGATTCGGGCTCTGACGCAAACCCGGCCCTCTCCGCCTCCAGCAGCAGGCGGCCCAGAGTCCACGCCTTACGCAGCGGGCAGGCCCAGCACAGGCCAGTGCGGGGACCTGGCTGTGATCGAGCCCCCAGCTCTGGGTAGGCTGCTCTGCCCCACTCCACTAGCCTTCCCTGTCCACGTGGGCATGCGTGTCTTAGTCGGAACTCTGCTTCCCGAGCACACGTCACTGAGCTGAGGCAGCTTCCAAATATCAAGCGACAGTCCTGTCCTAGGGAGTCCATAGTCACCTGGGCTCTTGAGTGGGTAGAACTGGGAAGTGGCACATTTTTGAGAACATGAGCAATAATTTTCTTCACTTCTCATTTCTGCGTAGGGTTGTGTTTTATT